GCCAGAAATGTAAATAAAATATTCAAAAAATTTTTCCAATTATTCAAGCTAATAAAAAAATCATTATTTATCTCAAGAATCCAAAAAGTATATTTTTCATTAAGTCATTATAAAAGACTCACCATATCCTTTTATATCACTGCATTCTGAACTTTCTGTATATAAAGAGTTCATCAAAGAAAAAAGGAGAAAAAACTAACAATAAAAAACAACATCAAATTTATGAACCGTTGTAGACTAGACTTTGACGACTTACAACACCTGGAAAAAACAAAAACATAAGTAGTTGGAAGTAGATCTGAAAAATGAATACACAGATACACGGGAAGAGATAGGCGTGGATCAGTGACAAGATCTCGAATAGCGATAGAAGTAGACATATCTCACGAAGGTGCATGGCTTTTGTAACGTTTGCTAGTTGATAACGCAAGTACATGGCACATAAGTTGTGCGATAGGTATAAAAGAAAATACTATGGGTTCAGTGGTGTTTAAAAGGTGTTACGTGTGAAGGGTATAGATTGGAGAAAGGGCGGAGAATTTAACGATACAAGGGAAATAGAGTGAGGCAAAATAGGAAACATGGCTCACCATCAATCTCTCAGTGATTCTGTGGGCTTGGGATGGGTATTCAGGACGAGAGAAAGGCGGCACATAATACAACTAAACTTTAATTACTACATTACTTGACTTGCCAGACTAGTTTACGAATCTATCACTTCAAGACAGTTCATTAAAAAAAAAATTTTTTTTCATTACTAATTTCAAGTTCATAATGAGCTAATTAGACACGGTACTGCATATAGCAATAATGATAATAATGATAGCAAGAACTCCAAGAAATACTTAATATATAAGATAAACATTAAACGAAAACACAAACATGTTTTCTATATATACTCATTTGCATCATCTCGCAGAAATTTTACCGGTTGTCGCGCAGCACTCAAGCTTGCGCAGCTTTTACAAAAGGATACTCTATTACTATGGATGTGCTTCAGTTGGTCGATCGATGCGGAACGTGAAAGCTTGCTCAACTCTCCTATTACTCTCTCTCTCTTCCCCTAACACATATACTCTACGTAGACTTGTCGCTTTGCTGCACTATGACATCACCCTGTTGTGATGATGTACCATGATGGCGGAGTATGGGGGTGAGAATAATTACGAGTTATGTGCGTGAATCTACAGCATACGATCACTCTGTTTCCAATAATTCGAATCCTCGAAATTCCACAATTCGTCTCGTATTATTAGCACGATATCAGCTTGCCAATGCAGCGCTTTGATTTGCTTATCAATTCATCGAGAGCAATCCACGCTCCACCGGCTAAATAGAAACCATCTGTATGGCCATTATTTTGTCAATATATAAATGTTAGCACACTTAATATATATGCTGTATTTATTTATATGAATTGCTAAGCCATATGTGGTTGTTCTTTTAACTCTTATTCAACTGAATATGTCCAGCACGTGGCTCAGTATCTCCAACCTCAAATTATTTTAGGTCATGGACGTGATGATTTTATGTGACATTGTCGATCTACTCGCGTACGCACTATTGGCCTCTTTCGCGAGTTGAATCCGATTTTACAGTGGCAGCCTATCGCATAACTTGGTATGAGGCTCGTTTGACCGAGAAAACGAATGAATCGAGAACCAAAAGAGTGGTAAGCGCCGTTACGCGATAAGCACATCTACCAGAGTTACATGTGCCTACCCATCGTGCGAAAGACTTTGCTCGACTATAAATGGTAATTGTCCTTAAAAAAAAAATATCCTTCAGCCGTTTTGGATATCTAAATCAATTCTATGGAATTTCTTCTTTTACTTGAGATATTTTTTATCGCTTTAATAGGTTTCAGTCTTTGAGATGTTAAAGATTGATCAGAGTTGGTATATAGTCGGTCTAGGTAAGATGCCACAGTCAACTATTGCAGTCGAGATTCTATTTATTAGGTACTTCCTTGGATAATCCTGAGTATCAAATTAACGAGAAATCTCGACTTTATTGCCAGTTAATATTAGATTTATTATAAATATAATTTTTTAAATTATTTCATTGCTTTAAGAAATTTATTCACATGATACTTTGTAATTATTTGTTACTCAAAGGTTTATTAACTTTTTCTTTTTTTGTTCATTACTATTATTAATTAACGATGAACATTAAATGAATTTTTTTATTGACATTAAAACCTGTTAGTTGTATCTTTTTTGTCTATTACTATTCATCACGATTCGTAAATAATTGATTGAATTAATTTCAAGTGTGAAAGACTTTGATAAAAAATTTTTTAACATACAAACACATCAATTAAAATATTTTAAAATTAAAAATTATATTCACTTTTTGAAGATTAAATAATTTTTTGATCACAAATTATTGAAGCAAATAAAAAAAAAAATTGAAGAAAAATTATAAACCATTTTTATCCTTCAGTGAAATATAAATTATAAAAAAATAATTAATCAAGATAATATCAAAGCCTAAAAATGAAGAAAAACATCTTAAAGTAAAACTTAATAAGTTCCACAACATAATAAATAACAATTTAATTAACGAAAGTAATACGCTGGGAACGTGAATATGAAAAATGTTATTTCGCATCCTGCAATTAAGTTTATTAGATAATAGAGAAAAAAAGAGCTTAGTAAGCTTCTTATTGAGAGGCGCGTGGCACAAAGTTGTGCATACATAACTGATTGGGAAGCGAAGCGATATCACCATAAACAAACATTTATCGTCGAAGTGAAATTAATTATGGAGATTACGGCGCGAACACGACAAGCGGCATGTATAAGTACGGCGTGACGTTCGTGGAAGAGAAGGAGGCTCTCGATAGTCGACTACTCGCCTCATCTCACTTGATTAACGGCGAATAGGCCGATTCGTTCAATTAGCGATTAAACGACAAGAGGTCAAGCTTGGTATGGCCTCCACGTCGTAGATGTCGGCCGGTCGTAAATCGGTACAGTGCGGTCCGTTTTCAGCTAAATTCCATGACCGACCATTAGGACAGCATGAGAGCTGCAACCAGGGGAGATATGCAGTGTCGGGGGCGACGATACTGATGGCGAATGTTCCTATTGAGCCTTATGGTATACTGCTTGGAAATGAACCGTTATATTGCCGTTGCTGGTGACGCGCCATCGCGACTAAGAGCACCTGGTCTACCAATGCCAAGGTTGACTATAGTATAAACTTGACTAGCTGATCACAGGTCGATCTTTTCACACGTGCATACTCTCCAAATATGTGCCTTGATGCCATATTCTTTCGAGATCATTAATCTTTACACCAATAAGTCACAAGTGCCATCAATTTTACTGTCATTCTTCAAACAAACCGTCTATTTCATGCCATTATACATCACCAGTTAAGTATCATCAACTACTGTGAAAACTGATTCACTCACGTGTTTAAACAAAAATTAAACTAGATTAATACGTGGTTATTTTTACTTGGGTTTATGTAAATAAGCTAGGCCACCGTGTTCACACGCAAATAACCCAAGAGTTTTTGTTCCTTTCATGTGAGTAGATTTTCAAGACTTGCATCTTATCAGTGTGTTCCCCGCTTCAGGAATGTCGAACAAGTCGAATGAGATGATAGCACTGGTAGCTCAGACGATGAGGATAATAATAATTGTAGCCTGGTCACATAACGGCCTAGATATAGACTCTGGTTTAAATGATATTCTCTCGTGCACTACTGTTTAACTTATTTTCTTTTATTTCATTGAGATGCTTTTTTTTTTCTTTTTCGTCAATTAATACTACTCGTTTTGCTGGTTGAAATACATGGACACGTTCTGTCCTCTCTTTATATACACACTAGTGAATAGCTTTTCTTGAGTTGGTCTGTCAGTTTTTGCACACATACTCGACTTGTTTGTGCGTCCGTTGATCCATCTTGCTCCTATCCTTTCTCATGGTGTGTATGGTGCTCATATATATACATGTAAAGCTCGACTAGAGTTTCTCCCTCAACGTTAGTCTCGCTACGCAGGACATGCTTGGACTCAGGTATGCAACGCCCGTAATTATTATTTATCCGCGTCGGATCATCCGCTCCTTTTACCGCGAAACCACGTTGAGATATCTCTGTATAGTCAAGCATAATCCCCTGAACAGCAATAACTTGCACGCCTGCGTAATGACGGACTGTCATTCTCAGCGTAGCTGATTCCGGCCCAAGATTCTTGCACGAGATCTCATCTCCTTCTTTACCCTTTTACTCTAACCCCTCTCCCTCCCATCTTCTCCATCACCTTCTTTCTCTTCTCTTCACTAACTTTGCTTTTATTCCTTATATATATATATATATTACCTACAAACCTAAGAGCAGGATGATCGAAATTATTCTTACCGTTAAATACAAACTGTCTCAGACGCTTTTTTTATTCACCATTTCATCATCACTTTACGGTAAGCCGGCCGCCACAGACATCAAAACCTTAATTCATCGTAGCAGCAAACGGTAGTTTTTAATTATCCAGTCCTTGTAAAAGAGCCGAAATAATTTAGAGTAAAAGAATCAATTGATATTTCGATGAATGATAATCATCATAACAATGGTAATAATGATGATTATGACGATGATGATGAAGAGAAAGAAAGAGGCGTTAAACTCTAAAGAAGGAAAAGTGATTCTCAGGAATGGGTTATAGGGCATTAAAAGAATATCCACGTCTTCCATACTTATGCGCGTTCGACGAGCGTTATGGAATATTAAACGAACACTTGGAAATGCCAGAAGCGATGGTGGTGGTCTGTAAGACCCAAAGGAGGGGGATGAGTATAAGTAGTAGGAGGTGGAGGAGGGGAGTAGGTGTAGAGCAAAAAAAATGGCAAAAGATATGGTAGGAGTATGGGTAAAGATGTGTAAAAGAACGGTATAATGATAAAGAGAAGGGACGAAAGGGTGATGTGGTGGAAGATGTGTGCGCGAGCGATGAAAAAGCGACGTTTTCAATGGTGTGTCGTACTCTCTGGCAATCGTGAGTCGTGCGTACCGTTTGTGTCCTCCTTAGGCCTCGCGGCCTCTGCAGATACCTCAGACGCGGTCGGTCGGTCGGTCGAGGAAGAACCACGCGGCCAGGTGCACACAAGAGGCCGCAGCATCAGAGACCAGTCAACTCGTTCAACAATCGCTCGCTCGCTCGTATTATCTTACTACTCTCAATATAGATTACCATTGCAAATCTCCAAGTGATTTCCGCTCGTATATACAAACAGAGTGTGCACGCGTGCGCGATAAATAAAACAGTCATCACCCTTCAACATCTTATAAACATATAGAGAATATAAATATATATATATAGAGAGGAGGATTCGTGTCAACTTTCCTTGCGACTTTTGTGTTCTCTTTTCGTGAGTTTATTCCCTCGTCGCAATATCCTTCGTTTATATTTCCAGTGCTTGAGTATATCGTTGACAAAACGAAGAAAAGCAAGAGATTTGTCGGGAAAAAGAAGAAGGAACCGAGAGGGAATTCAGTCGAGTAAAAGGTAACAAAGTGTTTTCTCCGAAAAATTCTTATTGCAATCCTTATAGCTTTATTCATTTTATCTCGAATACCAGAGTAAAACATAAAAATACATATGTAGAGTGATGATGAAAAAAGATAAAACTTTATACATGTATGTGATAACGGTTATCTCTTTTCATGTCTATATGAAGCGTTATATAATTTTCGATGAATCAATAGATGGTGAGATTTATTCGTTATAAATGAATTTAATTTAGTTGAGTTTTTCCCTCTTTTTTTTTCTCTCTCTCTTCTCTTGACTGTACACTGAGAAAACAATTTAGTAATGTTTTGCTGAAGAGTAAAGAGCCTTTCGTGCCGCGTGGCAGTCTTGCATCATCAGCAGTAACGGGAAAAGATATGTATATAGAAGAGCGAAAGAGACAGTAGAGGATCTAAGGATCTTTGCAAGCATAAGAGCGTGCGTGCAAGTTTGCCTATGTACATATGTATCCAAGTAATTGGTTTCATTTTCAATAAGGTTTTGAACGACCTAGGGTCAAGGGAAAAATTCTAAAGATCTCGTGCGTGCAGACTTGCATCAGTTATATAGCAAAGTGCAAGTCCCGCATATTCTCCATCGGAGTGCACAGTCTTTCCGCGTTTATATTCTTATAAGAGTGTCAAGATAACGATGTGTACACTCGGGCACCTAAGCTAGAAGGAGGAGGGTAAAGTGTGTAGGGGGGCGAGTTTGGAAAAAAGAGTTACGTTTAATCTCACCGAGTCGCTGTGCAGTAAAAAGGAGTACATGCTTTTCTTTCAAGTAAAGTAACTAAATATTTACACTCTCCCCATGAATATATACAGGGAGGTAGTTAGAGGGAGGTGAACTACTACTAGAAGCTACACAAGAGTAAAAGAAACGTCTTGTGGAGGTAGTAGCTGGTCTTATACTTGTTGTTCACGGCTCGTTTACTCTTTATCTTCTTTCACTAAAGTTTGCACTTTTATTTGCTGTTACACAGGTTCCAAGCAGATATATTGCAGCAAAAGAAGACAGTGGATTTACGATGAGTTACTCGCGTTCTCGGATTCTAACAATACTACTTCTCCAAGTGTGGTGGAGTCACGTTGTCATCATCAGTGCTGAAGCTGGTGCATCAAGTGCTTCAGCAACAGCAGCAGCACCAACGGTACCATCAGAACCCTCGGGGGCTTCCGGACCAGACTACACGGGACCATCAGCCGGCTCAGATGAATGTGATCCAGAGATGGTTGGCTTTGAACTTGTCACCGGATACGTTTATACTGCGCCCACCAGCTTGCTTGAGTCAATCCCCGGTATACTTATGCTCACTGATTGCTTAGAAACCTGTCAGGCGAATGACTCTTGCCAAGCGGTCAATTATGAAACCGGATTCTGCATCCTCTTCAGTTCAAACGCTGACAATAACCCAGGTAAGGATACTTTTTCTTTTATCTAATCTTTTTTACGACTCTCAAAAGCAACTTAAATGTCTGCTTAAGGAAACTAAATTTGTCAGTGACTCCTAAGGCTACTATATACTGTCTTATACCTAACTTGTATACCTTGTGAATAATGGATACCGGTATAAGTGAGCGTAATGAGAAACGCACTAATTGAATCTTCCGGGGTGTAATTAATAACGCGAGTTGAGTATATCTTGGCCGCGTGAGACAGCACACGGCTTTGTAAGCAAGCCTGCAAGCCGCCCGTGTGAATAAATCACTTTCTAACTAATAACCTAATAAAACATAACTTTTGAATATTTATCGATGACCCGGCTTTATTTATACATATATACATCCGCCAAGATATCACTTGGAAACTAACAGGATTTACACGATGAGTTACAAAGGTGGCAGAAAGTCACGATCACGATCGTTTCAAGTGTACCACGTTGGCCCGTTAGTCGTGTTACCATCGTCACTTGAACACTGACCCCAACTAAATATATATACATATATATTTAAACATATATATGTGCATGGATGACACTTAAACGCGCCGTCAAGATTAACTACCTTTCACGCTAACGCGTCGTCTATTAAAAACATCTCGATTAAATAGACATCATTTATTTGCTCAACATCCTGCACAATTGGATGATAATTTATTTCTTATAAAAACTCATTTGGTATTTATTGTCAGTTTGATTCTCCTTTTCTTAATTCACCGTGGAATTATCATTATTGAATCTTCGTTAGTACCCATAAGAAACAAGATAATATAAAGGGTAGAAAATGTCTTTTTATTTGATCGTGACAGCTGCCAGCAAGTTGTGCATTCAAGCAAACGATAAAGCATCATGCACTTATCGTCTGTCTTTTTTCCTCTCAGCTCTTCCATGAAAAATCGTACGAGAACAATTTTAAGGTCGATTACGGCAATCAGGCCGACTATCTAGGCGAGCATTCCATGCTGAAAAAAAAGGAAAAAAGAAAAGTGAGGTCGACGCCGCCGGGGCCACTAGAGTATCGCTCCTCTTTACAGTCAGCCTAGAGAACATTCCCTTTCCTATTTCTATCTCCTTTCTTCTTTTATGTTTCTTTTCTTAGCTTTCTTCAATTGATCTTCCTCAAGGATCATCGGTCGATCCATAGTTCAAGAGCTTCCCTTCAATGTCTGACTTTCAATAGTTGAATTGGACACTGATAGTTGAATCTTAGACCTACTTTTTTTCTTTCTCTTCATACTCACTGTTTACTTTTGAAGATTATGTACCAAAAGAAAGCTCATTTCGTTTAAACTACACTGAGAAAGTCTGCCTACTATAAAATGGAAAATATCCGAGTGTATTCATAGATATAAAAGAGTCAAATGGAATTCCTGCAGCGATCGTGATGGACGCGGTGGACGCGCGAGCTGGAGACGCCAACGAGTTGTCACGATCACGAAAGTTTTGCCGAACCCGTTATTCGCCACGAACGATAGGATCATTGGGACTCGAGAGAGCATCTGAGAGTTGGCGACTTCCTCGTCCTCGACGACCAACCAATGTCGTGTGTTTCTCTTCCTGTTTCGAGACACACTACACACCTATATCCTCTCTACTTCGCATCTCCAAGATATTGTATATAAAGTTATTTCAATGACCTCGTCGGTGCTTATTTTTCTTCCACTTTTTTTTTTTTCATCTCGTTCTCCAACAAAGAAGACATAAAGTTCAATTTATTATTCAAGCATTGTCATTTTTTATGCAATGTCATGAGGAAAAGCCGACTAAAAATGAAACGACGGTAAAGAGATGAAAAAAAAATATTAAATTGCCCATTAAGACAATATTCACGCGGTGAATCTATGAAACGTGAAAATATCATAAAATCTCTTTACGTCCGCTCAACAATTCGATGCACTCGTTTGGAGAGAAGTACAATGGTCATCCGAATGAATGAGTCTCAGGCTAGAAATTGGGGTATTTCAATGAATTCACCGGCTAGCCAACAACATCTCTGAAGGCTGGTACACCAGTACGTGCGATGCTGGCAATTTTTCATGGCCTCATTGTCCTCAATATCATGTCACAAAGGTCGTTCAGTCTTTGTTCTTACGCTTGAAATAACTCTGCTGACTCGACACTCCTGATCGAAGATTCGCTTGCTCACCTGCACTATGTATTATCTGTAATATTCTCAGTTACTTGCTGATAGCCAATTGACCATAATGCGTAGGCGTAAATACCGCGATTCATTTGATAACAAATCCTGTTTTATAGTATCAAAGTCACACGCTCCTATTCGCTAATATCGTATGTACTAAATATTTATGATAAATAAAAAGATTCGCGTACTCGCGGTGTGCTCATACACATTCAGTACATCGTGACAAGATATATAGGTTGATATACCTGTAGAGAGACGGGATAACGGGTCGTGCGCACCGCCTTTCGAAGTGGGTTCGCGTCTCGATACGTGACTGTCCTATTGACAGTGGTTTCAACGACCGCAATATCGTGTGTCTTTACCAACTTTGTATCACGAGTGTCCGTTATTATTCATTCAATATTTTGCCCTAAATTTTTCTTCAATTTACCTCAATGAACGACACATATTTTTTCTCCAAAAACTATCAACTCTATTTCTAAATTTAAATTTATCTATTTGATGTTAAATAGTTACAGTAGATCTTTACATTATTCATAAATGTCAATGCAAATGAACATAACGTTAACAATAAAATAAAAAACAATGAACTGAAGCTAATTGAAATGAAGCAAGAAGTAGCTTGTATTGACAGTTTTCAATGAATATGTATTTAAATAAATATGTGTGCAAAATTTATTGTTTAAATTCTAATAACTAAAAGAATTTATTTCAAGTAATAATACAATTTATGAATAGTTTTTGAATATTATTTTGAATTAAAGTAAATATAAATATTTAATTTTAAACAGTGCAAATAGTTAATAATTTATTTTTATTTATTTAAAAAAATATTTCTAAAGCATCTGAAGCTGCATAGTATTATTTTTCGACTGTTTATTATGAAAATTTTTTAAAATATTAGCAGTAAATAAATTTAAAAAATGTTATTACTAAAAAAAAAGGTTAATTTAAAACAGGAAATTAATTAAACTGATGATAAAATAGTGTATAAAACAATTGGAGATATTTTTTTTCCATCATCTTTTCTTTTCCACCTGCAAAAGAGTTGCCAAAGAAAATATCTCGACAAAAAAATGATATTTAAATTTAAAATAAACCCGAAAAGAAAAGGCGGTTATTTAACATAATATTTTGGTTCAATAGACGAGTTTGAATAGCTCTTTAGATATTGTCTCTCTACGTAGATTGTAAATAACCGTGGGAAGAAAACGTTGTGGTATACACGTCAGTAGAATACTAAATACACGAGGGGTGAGGAACTCACGCGGACACTCGGCATATACTCGAAGAGACGCCGGTAATCGATCGGACGACAGAGAGAATGTAAGAGAGTTGCTTGGAAAATAGGTACGAGCATCGTCGAGAAGACAAGCGAGTGTATAGGATCTCATGGTCTAGCAGCGGGTGTATAGTTATACAAGCAAGTACACAGAAAGAGAAACGAAGTAAGGTGATGGTGATGAGGCATATAGCTTTGCTTGGCCACACTTGGTAAATGCAGATGTAAGTGTTTACTGCACGAATAGAAACAGCAAGCGCATGCACTAACACCCTTTTGCCTCGATATCACTTGGTTTGCTCACAATTTATGGGGATTTCATTGGAGCGTCGCGCCAGAGTCGCGCCAACTCCCACTGCCTGCACGACGGAATTTGCATAGAGCTGCGCTAATAGTTCGTGATACCAGTGGTAGAAGAAGCGCACGTGACCTCTTCTCCTAACCCTTTCCTCATAATGTAAACCCACCGTTTGCCCTCGGGCTAAACGAACATTTTTTTTCTAAAATGCATGGATGCATTTACGGAGACAGATATTTATTCGTTTTACACAGGGAAAAAGGTAAAAATCATTTGAATTATGAGTTGAGTGAGAGAAGAATAAATTTGTAAAGTTGGAGAGAAAAGGAAAAAAAATAATGAAATGATAAAAGGAAGAAAAAGTGAGCGGTAAAGTATAAAGCATGATGTAAATAACATTCAAAATGTCGAGCTGGTTGGTGTATACAATAGTCAGAGTCATCATCGCTATAACGATTGAGAAGAGATACCGAAGCGCGCCACTCAACTGGATAGTCACGCTCCTAGAGATGCAACATACTAGCTAGTTGAGTACGCACGATGACGATGCTTGTGTCTGCAGCACGCTAACACGCTGAGAATACTGCCTCGCTGCTGCAGAAGCTGCTGGAAATTCCAAACCAGCAATTCAGTAGTCATTGATTACGATAGATCTATCCAATTGCCACCGTGCTTACTCGCAGGAAGTCAAGAAAAACATGTCGATACATTATATTTTCATCTTTCTTTTCAATTATTTTTTTGATAAAATATTCTTCATTATTTATTCCCATAAAAATTTGTATCATAATTTTAGGAAACAAGAAATATAAGCTGAAATATTGTTAATTTAAAAATTTTTAAATAGATGTAAATAATTTTAATGGAAAATTTCTTTTTTTTTTTAAATTGATAAATACTTGAGTTTGGTCGTTGAGTTATAACGTTATCCGGAGTGCTCTAAATTTCATCAACAACGTTCGAAACTGTTCTCATACACATAATCTCTGAGGAGCACTCGAAATTTTTAAGCAATTTCCTCACATAGACACTCGACTAACCGATCATATCTACCAACCTCAAAGCATTCTCTTTGAGAATAACCCTAGAGAAACTGTTTATAAGCTATATCGGGTGATATCGAAGCATTTCCTCAGAGGACTGCCCTAAAGGAGTTGTTAATAGGTTGTTTTTGGGGGAGGGGAAATGCTTCACCTGATGCAACTTAGTACCTCTCAGAGATTATTGGATCAATGTCCGATAGTCATCGATGAAGTTTAGCACGTCATAAAAATACATGAAAATATATGGAAAGTTATGTAAAATTTAAACATGAAAATTTCATAAATAAAAACAAAACTTAAGAAAAACAAAAAAGAACTTATAAAATGGACTTTCGAAAAAATCTAATTTTTTAAACCGAAAAAACTGAATTAAAAATTTAGCGAAAAAGTCAGTTAACTTTCAACGAAACAGGAAAAAAAGTTATCAATCAGCTTGAGAGAAAAAAGCGATAAAAAATCCAAAAAAAAGTACATTTCTTAAGCTTGTACAATTTTCATCGGTATTTTCTAAAGGGAAAAAATCTGTTGTTACCGGTGTATAAATCGTTTTTACATGGTCAAGCTAAAGAAAAAAAAAGCCGGACAAATAAAATGAATTTTTCATTCTACTGTCTTGACTACAACAAGCCAGGCTACTTCCTAGATGTTGGAAAAGACAACTTCAATCTATCTAGCTTGATCGTGACTAAAAAGAAGCCGAGAATTCAGCTGATTCATCAGCGTCAACTAGACAATTGTCCTCATACAAGATGTAATCTGATGCACTTAATTTTATACCATAGATAAGGTACCTGTACCACCGGGTACTGTTGGCGTTGATTAATAAAAAAATGAAACAAAAAAAAGTAGACTGGCACGCGGATAATAGCAAAGATGGCGTGCGGCTGCCAGTGAATTGTCTTCGCGTTAGACAGCGATGCGAGCGTGTAATTTGCCGTATCGAACTGGCACGTTCTGTCTGTGGCCGCAGTACAATTCTCCTCCCTGTTGCTATCTATTGCTGTTTTGCTTCATTTCACTCTCCCACGGTGAATATTCAATTGCAACTTGGCCGGACAGCGTAATCTAATTTACTCCAGGTGCAAATGATTTTCAGTCACATAGCAGCTACCATATTCGCTGCTGTTTCTGGCCTTCGGCCTGGCTTTATCTCAATATGCATAATAATAATATTCATACAAATATTCTAAAATATTGTGTGAGATATTTTTAAAGACAGGAAACTGGGTCGAACTACGTTTAAACTTTACAAGACCATTTCGCGGAATGGCGTATAACTGTCTTGCAAGTGAAATTGCGAAAATCGGGCAGAACATCACTACTCTGTCGAACCTAAAAGACCATTGAAATTGTTGGCAACATCTCAAGAATTATTGAAATGTAAATATTAAAGTTATTAAATATGAAAGATAAATATTAAAGTTGGAAGTGAAGTATTGGTGAAATGTTCGTTCTAAAGGAAGATGGGTTATAAATACTAAAATCAGTTTGAGGATTTTTTCGTTGGGTGTTACAATAGTTAATCACTGGCAGGTTTGCTTTAGAATAAATTTTTGGTACAACATTTTTAAGAATTCAACTGTTCTACGAAAAAAACATCAATTCTCTCACTATTCGTGCTATGGAAATTATTTTAAGTTACAAATGACTGACAGGTCATCAATTTAAATTTTCACATTCAACTTAAAAAATTGGGTTAGCTATTAAAGATTAATAATAACATTGTTATTTTATTTTATACATTTCCTTTTCAATTAATAATATTTCTTTTCCACGAAATGTGTTTTTCACGGATATTTATTTGATTATGTCTATTAATATTGACATTGTTCATTTTGTTGAATAAAATTAATTGACGTGTTGAAAATAATTTTCTCATTTTTTATCAATTTTAAATTGTGAGAAATAAATAATTAATTTTCGTTTAAAAATCAATCATTAAACATTTAAATGAAAAAAGTCAAAAGCAATATTTTATCATCAAAAAAAAATTATTCATCCTATTATGATGCTAAAAAAGAAATATAACACTTATACATTATTAACTTTATTACACAAGAAAGCTTGAATTGAACTCAACATAATAATAATAATCTGTCTTCTATTGACCCTCGAGTCTATTCAACCGTCTGTTACCTTATGAATACTGTAATGGAATACCGCATTTGAGATTATTTACACCACAATATTGGAATAAGATTTGGTTCAATGGCCGATTCTTACCAGAGCATAACGACTAGTCTCTCACGGTCGATCTTAATCCTCCAACGCATTTTTCCGACATTGAATTCCGTTAAATTAACACCAAAAGAATATTTTTTTGCTCCTATTTTTTCATCTTAATGCTCTACATTGCTTATCAGAGGAATATTTTTTAAAATTTTTTCTCTACTAAAAATATATATATATCTCCCACTCGTATCAACAAAACCAATAAAACATTATCTACCACTGACTTATTAAAATACATATTTTTAAAGCTAAAACACAGTTTAATAACTGCTACAGAATTACCATAATTTTTATCTCAACAGTAACGCTTTCACAAAATAAGCTGAATAAATTTTTTGATTTATCTCAAATAAATTAGATGATTTAATTCTAGCATCTATTGAAGATATGATTACAGTAAAGAATCCCGCTTTTTTTATATAAAAAAGCCAGATATTTATTGTTGGTAATTAAATAAAATGATAACAAAAAAATTCTCATAACGGTGTTGGAAAAAAAATTTAATTAATAAAATCCTCCATGCATATAAATAATATCTAAACTAACTTGATAAATAAATAAAAATTAATGACCGTAATCAAAGTGTGTGATTAATAATAAATACATTTCACGTACAATTAGATTTTTTTCTCACTATGTTTACACATAATGGTACATGATACATGTATGTAATTTAACGGGAAAAAAATGCACCATTGTAAGAGCATAGATGGTGGTGAGTAGATAAGACGGTATATACTTATGTATAAAATGATACTTGATATTGATGATTGTAACACCATAGCAGAGTGTGATCAGTAGCTAGCGTTAAATGTAACATTTTATTGTTGAGAATCGTGGTCAAGACACGTGACTTCCGACAGCTCTGGCGGAAAAACTGTAGCTTAACATGGCATGTTGAATCGTTTTAAAGACCACCCACAATTAAATTCTGCTTGGCTGCATACTCGCTGTCAAGTACATACTATCTAAATACATGTGGATGATAATACGTCTGTATGTACAGAGAGAAAGACAAGAGGTACAGTAGTAGGAGAAATAAAATAAAAATTAAAAGAACAGAATATTCATCTTTGTCTCGTTAAAATCCTACTATCAAGTTATAACAATATTATTTCAATTGACAAAGTCGGTATATACGTTTACACATTAAAGTAAAGCTGTAGAAATAATCTTTGGTGTTGATGTAGTTTGCATATGTATAAAGAGAAGTTTGTCACATTCAAGTTAAATTACAAGAGCTCTCCGTGTGTTCATGGTAACTCAAGTTAGAAGATAAAGTTAGTTTACTAGCACGACCTACGTCTCTCACGTTTCGAATTCGATGAAATTCTCTACAGAGCTTCAGCGTACTTACTATCCGTAATTCTCTGTTACCTTGTAATGCGGTAGCATTACAGCGGTAACTAGTATCCGCCTTTGAGCCATAAGCTTCTCTACTCCCCGGAAGTAACGACTAGCTCATCTAATCCGTCATTTCCAACTAATCTTTAGACCAAAACTATCCTCCATATCCTATAATCATACTCAATTTACCCCCTGGTATAATTAAAAAATCAGTTAAACTATAATTATCAATTAAGTCAAAAGTCTATGGAATTGTTATGTATGTTAAGCATGAAATATTTACTCAGTTTTATTGTGTTATTCATAGTTATGATTGAAGAAAATGTTGGCGGATGTTTGAGATTTTATAAACAAGTTATTCTTTGAAAAATGAATTGGTAGAAATCACGAAATGCGTGGAGAAAACAGTTATAAATTACTGCAAATTCATGCAGTAATGTGTTTATGGCAATTGTATTCAGGAAGAATTCGTTTTTATTGTTTTTTTTAAACAATAAATAGTTTCTATGTATAAAAACATCATTTTTCATATTAATTCAATTTTATTCAAAATAAATAAAATTCGCGATGTAAGAAAAAACAATATCTCAAGACATAAAATCAATAAATACAACTAAAAAAAAAAAAAATTATCGATCAAATATTTATGTTACTAAAAATAAAAAATTTAAACAGTAAAAGTTTTTTGTAACAAGTAATTATTGTCCATAAAGCATTAAATAATTAATTCCTATTCTCTGAGTTAAAAAATTGCATTAAACATTTTATTGTCTTGATTAATAGTATTTTTTTAATTAAAGTATTTTATTGAATCAACATTACCAAAGTAATCAATTGTTTTTCCATGATAAATCTACTCTATATCACATCGTCTCAAGCGAAACAACAATGCTATAAATATTACATAAAATTTCTCTTCATAACTTGACACAAAAACATGAATTCTATTTTTAAATAATTGAATGTATTTTTATGATTATCTTAACCTGTACAGGTGCATTGACTCAGTCCCAGTTCCCGGTGTTCACCATCTACGCTCAGAAGAGTTGCCTCGCTGTAAAACCTTGTGAACGAGCTTGGTGCATCGACAGAGTACAAGGTCATCGACTACAAGGTCACACTAAAAGAACTACTACTGCGTCGTCACGTCAGCACTGCCTGGAGTTGTGTCTGGGTGAGCGGGACTTTTTGTGCCGGTGAGTAATCATTTGCAATTAGTTGTTCTTAGTACAATTGTACAAAGTTAAGTATTTTAATCATTTTTCTTCTTCTGTACACTATTGTTGATGATTTATTCAACAGTATCAAATATTTCTTTTTTTATCTTATCTACTCATAAAAGGTATGATGGTAGTTTTCCCTTTTTGATGATCAAATCAGTTCTCATAGAATTAGTGAAACTTTTTCCTAAATGAGAGGTCAAAATTTTCTAGAACTTATCTACTTGGGAGCTGAGTTTATCTTTTTTCGAAGGAATGTAGTTGATTTAGTGACAATTTATCGACAGAGTGTAAAATTTCCCTGATACGAAAGGGAAACTTGGGAAAAGATTGGGGAGTGTGATTTACAAATGTGTTTTAAAAGGGCTTACAGGAGTTTTTTTTTCATAGGGATACCGTGTTTTACAAGGAACTTTTCTAATTAGGAATTTTTAAGAGGCTTTGATAAGGTTAAGTTGTGACTTCATCAACCGGATAAAAACTCATAAATTGTTAGAAAAATCTTGTAATAAGATTTTGTTTAAAACGACAGAGCAATAAAATCTTTAGTTTAGTTTTATCTTTTTTAAGAAAAATAAAATAATTAACTGATTAAAATTTTTAAATGAAATAATTAGCTCTTTTTTAACAAAAAACTTTTCAACTCCCATCTATAATAATAACAATAAAAAAGATAATTTTATTTCAATTCAATGAAAAGTATGTTGACCAAAAAAATTTTAAAAAGTCTTCTTTAAAATAAATGCTCGAAAAATAAAAAAATTTATTGATAAAAAAAAATAAACTAAAATTTATTGTAAAAAAATATTGAAATCATCCCACTCAAAAAACCGTTCAGATTACAAATGATCAGAACCATTTTACGATTCACTCGTAATACCATATAAAAAAGCACTGAATAAATAAGAACAGCATACAGTGATAAAAAAGATAAAATAAACCACAGTTATGAATTTTTAAATTGTATAATCGAATAGTAAGCACAGTTTCGATTTGCCGCATATTCGGAGAATATTCGAATGGAGCACGTATAGTGGCGTATACCTAGAGATAAGATTTACGAGTGTCGATATAGCGAAACACGAGTCGAATCTCGAATTATCATGACTCTTTCCATCTCACCATTTCTCCTTACTTATTCCCTCTATCTTATACTTTCATTCCTCTTCTTTCAACCAAACCCATATACGAGACAGACTACAGTGGACTAACATTTACGTTCACCAGACGAACATCATTTGTATTCTGGCCGCATTACAAGTATCGTGTCACGTGTCTAAAGCGAAAGGTCCCGAACGTAGTCAAAGAGGGTCAGTCAACGCGACAGAATGATAAAAGATGAACCCAGCTGGTGACCTGTAAGTTTGGGACATGCCTCTAGAAGCAGTCTATTAAAAGAGGGATCTCAAAAAAAAATAATACCTTTTAGTCAATCTGTGTTGGTGATTGATCAAGGTCTAGCTACTAGAGTAGAGGGAGTGGTCGACGAAAGAGAGAATGAAAAAGAGGCAAGGTTGAGAAAGGTTAGTGGTTGCGTAGGTGGAGGTGGATTTGTTCGTTATACCTAGTTCATAGTGGATGAAACAAGCTTGGGCATTACGTAACAATGCGTGCGTGCGACCATGAAGTCGGTGTTGAACGTATAACAGGAGCCAGCGTCAGGATTGCCGACGAAGATCGCATTAACATTCTATGGGAACGGTATTTCTTCCGTGCAAGGTGGCCGCCTGACAAGCCAGTGCTCTCTACGTTCGTGTATACCATCTACCTACTCCTTTCTTCTCTCCGCTTTAAGCCCACTCTTGGCCGTGTTCGGCCAAGCTTCGCTTTGCGTTAACCGTTTTTCCGCAAAGAGCACAAGAGCGCTCGTTATAGATGTACATCTACCATGCTTCAAGTGATCAAACGCCCTACAACTCACCCAGCATTGTAAGTATAACCAATACCAATGTCAAAAGTTATTTAAGAGATGAAGATAAGGAGTCAAGAGGTTCCGGGAATTGGCGGATTTTTATTCGGCATTGGTTGGGGGAGAGCAAGAGCTTGGAGTAATTGAGAGAAAAACTGAGATGCTTGATGGATGTTGGTAATGATCTGATGGATAGGTAGCTAATTGGGCTTGGAAGATCAATGAGAAGATGCTATTTTGATGAATTTTTAATTAGGACTTGTTTACACTAGGTCAAGTAATTGATTTCTGCAAATAAATATTGTCTCAAGCTACATTCGTTTTTCAAATAAATACTTTCAAGAAGATAGTAAAGTATATTTATCTTAAAAATAGGTACTATAGATCTGATTGTATTTTATCGTTGCTTTTCAACCACTATTAGCAATTTAATTTCTCATTAGGTACATATTTAACTTTATTCCGAGTTAACGGAAAATATTATTCAAGTTATTATTTAGTAATAATTTAATCCGCTTGTTCAATATTAGTATAAAGAAAAAAGAAGGCTTCATTTGAATCTATTATGAGCAATGAATATTTCAAATAAATTTTCATCATCATCCAATCAGCAATCACTGAATCTGATCACCGAGTGATTAATTTATCTCTAACTGTACAAAAAATATCTATTAACTGTAACCAAATTTTTCTAACCAACCGTAAACGAGATTTTCGATCAGCACGAGATAGGTATCTAGCGAATTGGTATCTGTTGGTTCTCCAATAGAGATGATCTTGAATAGTTGAATTGACGGAAGATGAATTGACGACTAAGTAAGAAGACCGTTGTGTGGTATCAGTTAAAGTCCTTGTATCCTACGGCAGTGATCACGGTGGGAAATCAAGTAGATATACCCCAGGATACTTAAGTACGGAAGTATGTAAAGACAGTTGACCTTAAGCTGCACGACCTCTGGACAACATTACCGTTGGTGTTGTCATCGACATTCTTCTTCGTTGATAATGAGTTTATTGTTTTGCGAGTCACGTCGGGGTTACATGTGCAGCGATTAATTACAATAAAGTAATATAATGATAGCGAGATTACTCGCGCTGTGCGGTGTTATAATAAGATCGGAGTCTTTAATGAGAGAAAGAGAGACTTGTCGGTCGAGTCACTGCACAAACCCAGTGGTACAATGTACATGCGAGTGCGCTTCGACCGTGAGATAGAGCTGTGCAAGGTGGAAAAGTAGTGTGCATGCAACCGACGCGGATCTCGATACGTATACCCGAGAGGTACGTGTGCCAAGGTGATACGTGTGGCTACGTTCAAGTAGGCGCGAGATCGGCCCAAGACCCACGCTGGTAATAAGACTAAAAAAGCAACGAGCTGAGAAGAACACGAGGGTATTCGAGTAGTCTCACTGATGCCCGCTTGAATCCATATCCAGATTGGAGACTGCGTTAGAAACATGTTGCTATTTTAATCACGATACCATCAAGATTCTCATTATTTCTCTGGATACTTAATACCCCCACCAAGTATTTTTGCTAGCCAGCCAACAGTAGCATCACTAAATTTACATTATCATACGATTTATCAGAAAAGACAGATTTTACGTGGCTCCAAATCTCATGCGAAAAGCTTTGCCTTTCATCCTACACTCCTCTCTCTATGGAGTATATAGTGGAAAACGAGATAGTGGATGTCGCAGTCGCCCACGAAAATGGGTTACTCTTCTTCCTTTTCACCCACTCTCTACACTCTAGGGCACTTACCATTAAGAGCACTGTCCGCGACAACGGCACATCCAATTATAAGTACGAAATTCATTGTTCGTTCCGCTTCACACTACTACTTTCTCGCCTTGCTACTCACTCACCCTATGCCATTCGTTGACTCTTCTCTGGCAAAAGGCTTGAACTGTTGCCAGCTATTTGAACCCACCGAGTTTGTCATGGAAACGCTTGCGGCGCCAAAAATTCTACGATTCTAAAATTCTCCATTAAAGTATTTCAAGTGTGTGCTATCCTATCATCATACCCAACACATGTTCTTATCATGTGTGTACATCTCCATGAACCTACGACCAATCAATATATTGTTTTGCCATTACTACTATTCCTTTTATACTCTTTCAAAAAATATCGAAATTCAAAAATAAAAACAAAAAATTCCCTTCTCTCTATAGTACATAGTAATTTTTTTTTATATCAATTTAATAAAGAAATATATGAATCTTGAAAAAAAAATTTATTACAAGATAAAAACTCTTAATGAGTGTGGATGAGTGCACTTGAAAGCAACTCAAACATAAAATAAATAATAAATATTTATTTAATTAAAAATGTTTGTAGATAATGCTTATAGGTTCATTAGATGATAATGAAGATGCACCTTGCAGAACAAATATCTCGCTTTTATAGGGGTCTTAATGAATTAAGATATTTATTTAATAGCATCAATTTCTGATAACTGAGAGTTTATGTGGAATTTAATCAATTCATTGACGGAATTTATCTCACCTTTTTTTTTTAATTCAGTAAATTAGACTTTTGTGAGTTTTTAAATCTATAGTTTATTGTTTTAACTACATGTTGAAATGTTAATTGCACTTTACCTGCACTAAAAAGCTATTGTAAAAAATAATGAAGACTTATTTTATTGAAATTTAACCAAATTATGAGTGCAATATGTGTAAGATGTTTCAAATTTAAAAGTAATTATCTATAATTAGATTAAATCATTAAAAAAAAAACTCTATGGTGAATAAAGAAAGCTTTATTTTATTTTTAACTAAATTTAAAATTTTTTTATACTAACAAAAATAAAGAGAAATAATGTCTTTCATGAAAAAGTATCGTCAAGAGTCAATGAAAGACAATTTTACAATTACTAATGTTCCTCATAAAGTTTAATAAATAATACCATAGAATAGTATTAACTAATTTTATTGAAAACCATTATAACATAAACAATTATTGAAAGAAAATGATCATGCAAAGCCCACGAAACTAATAACTCACTTCTTCCAACAATGACATTTATTTCTCCATATTTAACCATCCCATTTGTAAGCCC